CCCCGCCCCGCCCCGCCTGCATTCCCGCGTATGCAAGGGAGCCGGCCTTCCCGCCCGGCCTCAAATAGCGGCGCTGCGCAAAGCCATCAACTCGCGAAACCGAAACTTTTAAAAGTTGCCACATGCCCGTCGTCTCTCTCTCTCTCTCTCCCTCGCTCGCGCGCGCACCCACCCCCACCCATCTGCCATTCAGCCCAGACCGCCCGCCGCCGCCTTCCCCCGCGCACAAGTTTTTCCCATTTGCGCAAGTTGCAAAGCAGAGAAATCATAGAGCAAAACGGCACAACAGTACGCGTTTGGCACGCGGATGAGAACGGCAACGCGGCAGTCATGTTGTTCGGGATGCTCCCCACCGGGTGAGGAAGAAGAAGAAAAAACATCAGAAGGAGGAATAAAAATAAGTGTGACGCTGCCGCTGTGCTTGTTGCATTAAAAGGAGCAGGCGGTCGGATGACGGGGGCGTTTATGAGAGAAAACATGCAGTAATAACACTCCGAGCGGCGCGTCGCGCGCGGCGTTCGGTGACTGACGGCTTTTGCTGTCTCTCTCGTACGGTGTGTGCTCGCGCTCTGCTCCATACACACAGTCCTATCCTCCCAACTGGCTGCCCCCCGCCGCCGCCGCCGCCGTCGTACCGTAACAACGGCACTATGTACAGCACTAAAACGCCCACCTCAAAAGGTACTGTTCACGGAAATTATGTTTACAGCACGATAAATACGACTCATGAAATGTAGAAAAATAAGGAGAACCACATAAACACAAAGTCCAGCCAATGTGACATATATTGATTGAAATCCATAAATAAAATAAGCAATCGGGGTCTGTGTATATTATTCTTAGAGTCACGCTACTTTTTCCGAAATGAAATGCTTTGGGCGCAACTGGAGATAGTATAAAACGAGCCCGCTAAATATAGCGAGAAGCGTTTCCTCCTAGCAAAAGTGTATCATTAAAAACACCTCTCTGTGGGTGGGGGATGAGCCCCTCAACCCCCTCCCCTCTCCTAAGCGCCGTGATAAGGTACCGGGCTTACGTAAGTCGGGCGTATGATATCGCGCTTCGCACCCACATGCGCCAACAACCAGGTCAGGCGGCGGGCCCTGCTGGCCCCCGGGCCCTATGTTCACTGGTGATCTGACGGGGAAGGGCGTACGTCCAAAAAAAGGAAACTTTTTTGTTTGAAGGTAAAACTATATTATAAAACTAGACCGAAAAAAAATCTTTTTTTCTTTTTTCAAACTTTCGCCCTGCTTTTGCCATGTACTCGCGCCGCCGTAGTGGTGGTGGTTTGGTTGCAAGCGCGCGGGCCGGCGGGCGCACCACCACCACCGGCGGAAGCAAAGCGGTGCACGAGCGGCAAATTGCTATTCAATACCAGCAGAGAGCAAGAGCAGGGAAGTAAGGCACTACCATACTGCTTGCACCGGCCGGCAGTGCTACGTACTAGCGGGAAAGGCGCGGAGGGATATAAATTGCCATTGTGTGCCCAACACATTCCGACTTCTTTTGCGAAACAAAATGAAAAAAATAAAAATAAAACTATAGGGTAGGATCAACAAGTAGTTTTCCGACTTTTTAGAAAAGTCATTCGACTCTATAATTGTGCATACGTAGCAGAGATCTCTAAATAAAACAAAAGAAAAACAACAACTTCATATTGCCCTTGACCACACTCTACTTTCTTTCGGCATGAGAAGTCATAACGTGAAGTGTGTGGTGTAAAGTTTTCGGTTACTGTACCTTTCTCTTGGCGAGCTGCTTGCGCGCGAGGAATCCCCGGCAGCGCGCCTGCAGCCGCACCACATGACCCGCGATGCGCTCGTCCCGCTGGGCCTCGAGCTGCTCCAGGACGCCGGCGCGGAAGAAGATCTGCAACAACAACACAAACGAGAGATGAGGACGAGATTAGACACCATGCAAATGCACGTGAACTACACACACTATAGCGCCGCGCCCAGGCCGTGCCGTACAGCGCTTGGAAATTTTAACGCCCGAAATTTATCGTCGGAAAAATTGGAAAGTTTTCAAAACAATAAAAATAGGAAGAAACGGAAATATTACCTTTTTTTTTTTAATTGCAACTTTTCGTTTTTAAAGAAATGCATCCACCCAAAAGAAAAATCCTGAAAAATTTACTTTCTTCTGCGAAATTAAAATCCCAAGCAGCACCCCGGTTATGGTCCAAGTCAAGGTAGGGCCCACGGGGGGCGCCGGCACGGGCGTCTGGACACGGTCAGCAGCGCGACCGAGCGCGACCGGGCAAGAGTTGGGCGGGAAAGTGAAAACACCCGCACGTGGCCCAGGTAGTTAGTATGTAGTAGCCCGAGCCTGCATAATGTGCGCGCAGTGTTTCAATGAACGCCTTTGTTACAGGTACTAATACAACAATATAAAATTGGACCGGCCGTCGCCGAAGTACGAGAGCTGCGCGGTCGTATTTGGAAATAACTTATTCAGGCCGTTCAGGAGGACCCGAGGGGGTTACTCACTACCACAAAACCTGTACAGAGTACTCTGTATTACAATGAATTACGCGGTATTACCGGGTGTTACGCCGGTATTACACGAAAAATGTTGCCATTTTATGGCATATTTTGTTATTTTTCGGCATTACATTACAAGTGATACCGCGTAATACCCAGGTGGGGTGTACAGGGTATTACGGGAGTGAATATCGCCTCGGGAGGACCGCTGAATGAAATGCCAACGCGAGGTTTGGTGCATCAAGCCGGGGGGCGGGGCGGGGTGGGGCCACACCTTCTGGGTCTCCCCTGATGCTCTTTCGATCACCCCGGGATAACTTTGGCACGGCAGAGGTGCTTATGATTGAGCCGGGCCGAGCGCGCCACGCTCGATAACGCGTTTTCGCAATGCAGTCGAGCGCGGCGACGGCCGGAGAGACTGACTTGGGAGGAGAGAGAAAGAGAGAGAGAGAGAGATTTCGTCACGTTGTTTCTGTTCAAACGGGGAGAGGGGGGGGGGGGGGGTGCTCCCTTGACATTATGTACTAGCTGCTTTCAGCGCCCCGAGGAGGAGGAGTCGCAGGTGAACACGACGAAGAGCCTCTCCTGCCTCATACCCGCGGGGAGGGGGGTCTGCGCAATACAGTACCGTACCCGCGCGGTCCGCACGCCTGTACGACACCGTGACCCCCATGGCCATACACCCACGGGTCACTGCCCATCGCCAGAGAGTGCCGTGTAGGAAATAATAACAGCACAAACAACAAAACGGGGCCGACCAGCTTCGCACATAGCACTGCATCCAACAACAGTGTAGCAGCAGTGTACGTATTCAAAAGCAACACGGATTCTGCGCTCCGTGACGAAAATAGGACATTAAAAATAATGACTCCTTCCCTGCTGCTCGAGCCGAGCCGCCCCCTAGGGGCTGCCGGGCAGGGCTATGAACGCCGTTCCTGCTCACGACAGCATTTACAAACTTCCACGACACCAAACTGCGGGCACGCGACAGTACTTCATACCGGCAGCGATGGGACTTGACACCCGACACTACCAGACGCGTAATAATTGAAAAAATGTGTTGTTTTTCATTTTTATTTTTTTGCGCGACGGAGGCGATTAATGTAATGTCAGGGGCTGTAAGTGATTATGATAGCGTCACAAAAAGGCCACGACGGCAGCAACCCTGATCCCCCAATGATAATTAGAGGGAACAGACAATGACGTACACAGCTCAAAATGTCTCGCGTGGTCCGGCGGCAGTGCAGCGTGCAGCCCAAAGAAGAGTGACCTCCCGGAGTCAAACGATTAGCGGAGGGCCGCCGGCCTCACAGGCGCGCAGGGCCATTATGTGGGTCATCGGCGGGACGGGGCGTGGCATGGCGGGGCCGAGCGGGGTGGAGCGGGCGGCGCTGCGGGCGAGCACGACACGTGAGTTGATATTTCAAAATTGCCAAAGATATGCTCATCTGATCGGTAACCGCGGGGCGGGATAGGAGTCGGCGGCAGGTCGAGTAAGTGGTAACCCATCTCCGCAGTGCGAGAACACCAGGTCGAGGAGTAGAGGGGCCAGCACGCCCGCACGCCTTGTGACACACTGCGCGCGCACATCATCATCACCACCACCCACATCACTCTCACCTCACACGACCCGCAGCTCTACACAACGCAGCGAGGGAGAGAGAGGGTCGGGAGCACCAGCGCACCGGCAATTCTTTTTCCAAGCTGCTTCGACACTCTCCGTTCTCGATACGTGCAGCGCACAACACCAGGGTGGGTGGCAGAAGTAACGCCCCCCCCCCCCCCCCTCGCCTCTCAACCCGCTACACACACTTCCTCTCCCTCTTCCACATATAGGTTCCCTCGGTTCCCTTCGGGTGTTCGCCTTCATATCTGGCCGTTGTATCTCGCAGACTTCTAGCAGTGCCTCGTCTTGGAATGCCCTGCTGCTCGACCGGCGAGTGGCCGGGCTAACGGTCCCGCGCTCCGCGCCGCGCGGGCCGGGCAGGGCAGGGGCCGTACCTCACCGTGGAGACTGCCCCGGCCCCGCGCTGCACCGCGCTGCACCGCCCGCCAGGCCGGGGCAGCATGCGGACGTCCGGTGCACGTCATGTAGGGCCTCCTTACCTCGGACAGGTCCGACACGGCCCGCCGGGGCGGCGCGGGGGCGGGCGGGTCGGCGATGACCCGCCGCCGCGCCCCGCCCAGGAAGCCGTCGAGCGAAGGGCCGCGCCGCCGCAGCGGGGTGGACGACGGCGTGTCCTCGAGTGGCCGCTGGTCGAGGCGCTCGAACTTCTCCTTGACCTTCTTGACGATGGAGGCGGCGCACTCGGGGGCGGACGCCGGTGGCGGCGGCTCCGGGGGCGGCGCCCGCGGTCGCGACATCCCCCACGGCGCGCTGTTGGGCAGCTGCTGCCGGCCCAGGGCGAGTGTCATCTTCGGCGTTGGTGTGGTGCCAGTGGGTGTGGCCGGGTCGGGGGCGTTCTGGTAGAAGCTGACGAGCCTCTCGACCACCGCGGGCGAGCTGTCCTTGTCGTCGACGCGCGGTGGCTCCGGGTGGTCCTCCCAGGACGACGGCCCCGAGTGCGTCAGCAACAACACCGAGTCTCGGGTGCCGCTGCTAGCGCTGCTGGCGCTGCCGCCCTCGTCCGACGAGGACGCCCCCGAGTCGCTCGAGACCAGCTGGATGAGGGTCACGTTGTCCTGCTGCGTGACGAGCGGCTCCGGCGACACGTCGATGCCGCTGTCCGTCGACGAGGCGCGCTTGGTGAGCGGCCGGTCGGCGCGGCCGTGCGTGTTGCACGCGTCGAAGCGCGCGATCAGGTCCTTGAGCTTGAGGGTGTTCTCCTTGCCCTTGGCGACCACCCCCATGATCCTGGGGCGGCCCGTCAACCGGTTGCCGGGGTCCACGGCGGGGGTGAGCACACCCTTGTCCGGCTTGACGGGGATTGTCCGGGGGCCGCCCTTTGGGGGAAGGGCGGGGGGCAGCGTCGACGGCGGCGAAGGTGGGACCTGGGCGGCGACGGGGGGCGGC